TTATTTTTTAGTGGCCCGGTGATCTGACTCCAATTTGATTGTAATGATTGGTTACTATCGTCTATCCTCGTATATGATCATTGACTTAAATCGCGTTAGTTAATAACGGAATGAAATAAGCCAACTAACGAGAATGGAGTTTTGAATGCATATATTTTGCATAATTGTTGATTAGACAAACGAACGGTAGAACGATGCGAAGAGAAGAAAGCGAAGCAAAGTTGACGAGCGGTGGAGATAACTGGTAAGCCAACTCCCCCTTTAACAAAGAGTTAATCAATATTTATAAGCCCACAAAATAAATTACAGACATGTGATGAGTAACGGGATAAAAGTGTGCATACGCCTACGTGCTCATACAAAGACAGTCAAGATATTGATAAGCGAATAATTAACAAGGTCAGAATGTGACTCAAATAGAATGAATAGAATGAGCTGTTCGAAGGTTAGAATAATAATAAGGTATTTGGGCTTAACATAATGACAGACACTACAGTTTATTTCGTTATGTTATTCATTCCAATCATCATATGATTATTGTCAATTTAAGAGAAAAAAAAAAAGAAATATAAACAGAGATAAAGAAATAGAAACAAATCTATTCACTGTATAATCAGATTTATTTATGACCACACACACACACACCCCTCTCTCTCTCTCTCTCTCTGTCTCACTCGCTCTCTCTCTCCCTCTCTCCCATGAGATGAATCGATGAGCATTGATTTTGTCCATTTTTGTTTTGTTGTTGTTTCCTTTGTTGTTTTTTTTCTTCATTTTTTTTATTAAGTATTTAATCATTAAAAAAATAAATAAATAAATAAATCTACCCAATTGTATATTTGTTAAATGTCCTTGATGTACCGATGTATTTTTTTTTTCGGCGAAAAGGATAGTGGGAAGGAGTAGAGAATTGGATGATGAACTATTTACATAAATGTTGTTATTTTTTTCCATTTATAAATAAATGATATTGTAGGAAAAAAAAAGAGAAAAAAAAAGAAAAAAGAAAAAGAAGAAAATAGAGATATTCTTTCTTTTTATAGAAAAAAAAAGAAGAAGAAAAAAGAAAAAAAAAGTTCAACTATGTAAAATATTATAATTTGTATTTTAATTTCAAGTAGACTAAGTTAAAACAATAACAATAATAATAATAATAATAATAATAATAATGATAATGAATAATAAACATGAACAAGTAAACAGAACCTAAATCCTTAAATGTACTCTATATTACCCTAAATTTTTTTGTGTTTATACGTAGGCATAGGGAGAGAGAGAGGGGGGAGGGAAAGGGAGAGAGAGAGGGGGGGAAAGAGTGAGAGAGAGAGAGAGGGGGGGAGAAAGAGAGATTTTTCATTGATAAATATGTATATGATAGATAAATAGTTAATTTATTATGTAAACAAAATTATTTGACCTGAACAAATGAATAAATTATGAAAATGAATAAATCTGTCAAAGAAATATGATTTTCTTTTATTCATTTCTTTTTTTTTCTTTTTTTTCTTTTTTTCTTTTTTTTTTTGTTTTATTGATGAATGATATTCAGGCGTGAATATGTTTATTCAATAATAATCATTTCTTAAAGAAATTTACTGGCATTATTTAACATTGTAATTGATTAGTCTCTTGTTAACGTATATGTATCCTGTACAGATTATCTCGATATAGCTTTAAGTTATAAGATTGTTTAAGCATAAATGAATAGTAGATAGTAATGGTAACTAGTTTAATATGTGTTTTATTCTATTTGAGACTGATCAATTGAATGTACCTGCATGTTAAAGTTATTGTTCACTGTGAGACTTCAATCTAATACCATTATCTCGTTATCGTTATCCAATTCGTTATTGAGGAAGAAACATAAGTCGTGAGTTCCACTGATAGTCACTATTCAATATTGAGACAATGTACACAGTATACATAGATTTCAATATGAGACTGATCAATTGCAGTTTTAGATATCAATGGAAAGATTCAAGTAAAACAATATCAAATGAATTTAATCATTTTGTTCGTTTATTACAAAATTGACTCCTTTATTATATAATAATTGTGTATATTAACTAGCTTCTAGATAAACACTTGAGGTTTAAATGATAAATTGTGACTAATGAAGATTTACCTTGTTGAGTGAATGAAGTAACTATCCTTACTGACATTGGAAGATTATCTTGCTATGGTTGAAACTTAGCTGAAATTAGAAGTATAGATCACAATTGATTCATCACTGAGTGGTGATCAATGTCATGCTTGTCTAGTCCTTATTATTGTTGCAGATCGAACGCTATCGATCATGTCTAGATGACTCGACACTGCGAGCACTATTGTGAGGATTAGATGGTGGTTGGAGGTAGTCAACCCGGCCGGATAGCTCAATAGTAACGTCTCTGATTGTGAAGCTGGGTGACACAGGATCGAATCCGTCAGGGAGCATCAGTTCCCTCAAAGATTACAGGTACACCTTGCTGACGAGTGCCAAGTAGCATGAAACCCGGGTCCAAGGTTTCCTGTCGACTACCTCCAACCACCATCTAATGAAGTATGGATCATTTAAATTCGAATCAATTGAAAGGTAGTAATGATTAGTAAATTGAAAGTACTTCTAAAATCTTTCTATATATTACTAGACACAACTAATATCGTAAATGATTATCTTGTCAGTAATATGATTGTGAATTGCTTGCGCATTAACTGAATCTTCGCTTCAGTGGAACGAGAAAAAGTCACATAAACCAATTAGCTACGTAGCCGAAATGATTGATAAAATGAATGAATACTACCTGTGTCTACAGATTCCCAAATCAACCTATCTAACTTTATCAGCTGAATCAAGATTTTTCTAAGTTACAATTAAATCACAAAGAATAGAAGCTTCAGAAGTGATAAACAGGTAAGGTTTTTTTTTCAAAAGACATCAGGGTCGATTAAAAGAGATCAGGATAATCACATTTCGACTAAACGTTACCAACCAGTTGACTTGGATGTAATGGAAAGGTAGTCGATTTTAAAACCCCATATATCTGTGACGTACTCATTGGTCTAAGCTCAAAATATTATTAACTTAACCGTAAAAAGTGGTATAACAAGTTGAGAGATGAAGACCGAGTTTCATAATATTCACAGATCTGTAGTGACCTACTTTTGTCAACAGAACGCGATTGGTTCGATGAAAACAATTATTATTATAACCAATTTTACCAGTGATTGTTTTACTGTGCTCGTTTGTTTAACTGTGCTAATGACAGCCATTTTTGGCCTTCCATTAAACTCCATTACTTCTGCGCGGTTTGTGACTCTACGCACGTACTTTCTCCTGCCGATCCCACTTGTACTCCTTTTGGCACGATCTCGGTATTCTTTCGATACCACAAGATCGCCAGCAAATATATCTCGACTACAGCCATTATCCGTCTTCTTATATTGGCCTACGGGAATCTTATTGGTTTACTGGCACGTAGTCTTGTAGCGGTGTTCATAATCAAGCGCGATTCGACACCACGCTACAGATCTAAACGACATAAAAAGAAAAACAAATGAATATTTTTAACTATTTGTTCAAGGCTCAATTCCTATCTAATTCTAGCATTAGTTTCTTCTATGTAGATGGTGCAATACAACCCTGTTGAGTGTCTGTAATCACTAAATAGGGTCAATGAGCCATAACTGTCCTGTTTATAGTGGTTATACAGGTTTATTCATGAAATCCGACATGTTCTATCATAAAACTATTTGCCCAAGACTTAAATCATAGGGAATTAATAAGTTCTTGATTAAATAGCTACAGCATTATCTAATTGGATGACTACAAGTCACCAGAGTTTGGTGTGTGTGTGTGTGTAAGGGATGGTCCCAATAGAAAAGTGGGTCACCAAAAAGTTCCATCCTGATTATATTAAGTATTACACACTTGTGACAAGTAAAATAGAAATGAAAAGGATCACTAATAGTATGTATAAATGCGTATATATGCATTTTTTAGGTGATTTGAAGAAAACACAAAAGAGGTAGAATGATAGTTGTCCACAAATTCGGAGTTCATAAAATGGATTGAGTAACAACTATGTAAGGTTTAGAGAGTCTACATACGTTTAAAGGGCCGAGGGATTAAAAATCGCAAATAAATGTATAAACACTTCAAAAGTGGTTGAAGAAATCGTTGTTTAAGTAAACGTTGAGTAAAACAATGCAAATGTTACCAACGTTGACAACAGTATCAACTGTAGTGTACTTGTGTATCTTTTCTGTGCGCTGAAGTACTTATCAGTAGATTTGTATCAGAAAATGAATCCCCGAAATACATAGGTCCGTAAATCTGACCTCACTGGTTTTGCACGGCTCGTCTAGCTGAAGGAGTTTGGTTACGCATCCATACCAGATCACGAGTGGCTACGACGTGCTACACATCTCCTGCAACCATTAGCCAGCTTAGACTAAACGATTCTCGATATTTCGATAGCCTTTTAAATATAAAATCGAAATTGAATAAGTTGGGATACTTTGATAAGTAAGGTTTAACTGGTTACGGCGTTGTCAAACTCCGAATACTTGTGGCATAAACAGTGGTGAGCTCCACTTGATCTGGTAAACTGAAGATGCCACAGGTATTTGTAGTTTGACAACGCTCTAACCAGTAACAACTTCTAATATGAATCGTACTAACCAAGTGAAATCAAAAGATAGAAGCGGTGAGGTTCGAAGATATATTTGATAGGCTATCAATATATCGAGGATCGTCTGATTTAATCTGGTTAGCGATTGCAGCAGATGTTGAGCACGGCGTTCACACTTGTGATCTGGTGTGGATGCATGATCGAGAGCCTTCAACTAGATGAGTCTATTAAAACCAATGTGGTCAGCATCCAATGTCGAAAATTCACAGAGCTACTTATTTTGGAGATTTATTCACCGCTACAGATCACATCCTCCCCCCTAGTGGGGTACTGAAGACTCTAAAACTTGGCCAGTCAGAAGTTTAAACCCAACGAGTTTGTCGTTGGTAAACACTCTTCTGATAGCTTGCTAGCTTTAGCAGCGTCTGGTCATCTTTACTTACTATAAGTGATCATGAAGTAAAATATAGTAAAAAAGAAAAAGTAAAATGAAATTCCCGTTTCTCGTTAACTTCATCGTTCTTTTCACCGTCTTTTCCAGCCTTCCTCGAAAAGAAAAAACAGTTTGTAAGTGCATGTCGAAATACACTCGTACGCGCGTAAAAACACAAAGCGGGCGAGAAAATGGAAAATAAACTCATGCACATGTAATAGCGTGAAAAAGGACTTTTGTAGTATGTTTCTTTCTGTTTTGTTTTGTTTTTGAAATAGAAATATAGATATATAAGCATATTAAAATTGATTTTCTGTTATTACATATAGTGCAAAGAAGAATGGAGATGATATAAAATGCTTTGAGGCGATCGATGACGATGCTATCGTTGGTTCTGTTATTATCAATTATTAGTACTTGAGTTTGCGTTGAACAACTTTGAAGGGTCCGTTGTGTGGTGATTCAAGAGGTCGTCGATGTGAGTCTCAACGAACGAAAACGTGTGTACTATGTCGCAAGTCAGGTTGAACGAAAACATCAGTTGATTGCGGTCGAGTGTAAATAGGTTTAACCGAACGCACTGAGTTTGTAAGCCTGTTAGTGTAGGAGGTCAGATCCATGTTCATTGAAGAAGATGAAGGATCCACGAATTCTCCTGGAAGTCGAAGTGTCGTTCCATAAACGAGTTTAGACTCAGTGTATCCAATGTCAGCCTTCACTACATTGCGAATACCTAGTAAGACGAGTGGAAGAGCGTCAGTCCACTGAGAAATGTTTGCGGCTGACATTGAAGCTCTTGGTTGTCGGTGAAAGCGTCCTACTAACCTGTTTTCTTGTGGGTGGTAGGCGGTCGTTCGGAATCGAGCGATTCCTAATGTTGCGGTCAGACAACCGAAAACTCCAGATTC